TATGATTCCATGTATGTAACAACAACAAAAAAGATGCCTAGAAGAAAAGCTGAAAAGAAAGAAATCAAGTGGTTTATGTGTTTTTATTTAGATTGTGGGTGAATGATTTTTTCTGTTTCTGTTTTCCAAAATGTTACAGAGTAGTTACAACTACTTTTTAATGGTGTAAAATATATGACCGTTCTATAACCATTTGTTCACACTTACACAGAGCAATTACTACAAAAATGTGATGGAAGTACTGTTCCTGTTTTCTGGGAAAAGGGTGATTTGAACAAGCATAAAGGAAGGGAGGACAGCCACTGGGTGTCTCCCCCCACTGCCAGCCATCCACAGTGTCACTTCATTCCATCCCCTCTCCTGCCGGGCAGGCAGGATCACTGAATTTAAAGAGCAGGAACTGGGGCTCTCTCAGAGGCTCCATACCCCAAGGCCTCATGGGAGAGGAAACATGCAGTCCTGGTCTGCCTAGGCAGGCTCTGTCCTCCTGCTTGCTGCATGGGAACAGAAGAGCAGCAGAATCAGCATTTGACAGGTGAGACAAAGTGTACCCACATCTGTCCAGCCTGTCTTCTGCTTGACAGGGCAACTGGCCTGACCGGTCCTCTCACACAAACTCACCCCCACAGCAGATACACATATGCACACACACACATACACACATATACACAGAAAGACATGCGTGTACGTATACAGACGTCACAATACAGATATGTGCACACATGCACACACATATATACACATACCTGCACACATATATAGAGAGACATGCAAGAACATATATATATGCACACCACATATACACATATACATGCACATATAGATACATATACACACAGACACAGACATACATATGCACACACACACACATTGCTGTCACTGCTTGGACCAAAGATGGTCACCTGACCCAAAGCCACTATGCTCTTAACTCCTAAATGCCAATCAGATCCTCTCTTCTCAAGAATCTGAATACAGAGGTGTATAAATTATGGTGACATATAATGATCATAAGCTTTTCAGCTCATGCTGGTCTGCTGGGGGCAAGAGCAGGAGCCAGCTCCATAGAGAGCAAGGACTTGGAGGACGGAGGCCTCTCCATGAGCAGAGAAGGCTGGTCCACAGGGGAAGCGAGGAAGAAATGAAGGCAACAGCATCCTTGTCACCCTCTGCCGTCTGGCAGGGCTGCGCCCATCCCCACAGCTGTCCTGTGAGCAACACGCCCCAGGAAGCCCTCTGTATGCCAAGAGTTCCACATTCTGTTTAAGCAAGCTTGACCGAATCCCTTTCCTTATGACCGAAAGTTCTCAGACCACAACAGATTATAAACACATAAATTATCAGAGTGATTGTCTCAATTCACCAGTGATGACCAGTGTCCCCAAGCTCAGGTCCCTGTGGATATCTCTCAGGATTCTCAAACCCGGCGTGCACACAAGCAGACCTGTCCACTTCTCATCTACATTTCCCCAGGTATTCCCAGACTCAACAAGTTAACACCCTCCCAGGTGTTCAAGTCAGAAGGCGAGGAGTTCGACCTTTCTCTCTCCTTTGTTTCCCGCATTCAACCTACTACAAGTCCTCTCCTATATGGATCAGATCCACCCGTTTCTCTGCCCCTCCACTACCCTGCCCTAGTCCAGGTCCCATCTCCTGGAATCCGATAGCTGCAGCAACCTCCTATGGCCATTCTCTTCTAATGCTCAAGTCCCAGTTGTTGCAGGTACAACATACACACACACACATACAGAGAGACATGTAAAACCCTCTAGTGGCATTCCTTTGCCTTTTAGGGTAAAATCAAAACTCCGGAACACAGCCTGCAATGGCCTGGCCATGCATCCTCTCTTGTCCTGCCTTTCAGCATCCCACACACGCTCTGCCCAGGCTGAACCTCTTTCGCTTCCTCAAAACTGTCATGCTTCTCAGCCTGAGGGACTTCCGTGAATTCTGTTTCCTTCTGCATGGATCTCTTCCTCTCTACTGGCTGGCTCCTACTCTCAAGCACAAGACTAAGGAACCCCAGTGTGTGGCCCTGTGACCTTCTGACCACCCAGGGCACCTACCAACCTTCTTGGTCATTCCGTTCGTGTGATCTGTCTTCCCTGCTTGACTGTAAGCTCCATGGGCACATCCCCAACACTGAGCCCACAGCACATGCTTAGGAAAGACTGGAGGAATGAATGGATTAGGTTCTTAACAACATATTGTTAAGACAGTTTAGTGAAACAGCTCTTCTACTCATTGTTGTTAAAACTTACACCTTTTAAGGATCTGATACAAATCCTGAAGGTGGGAGATGAGGCCAGAGAACAAAATTAATAATATATTTAGTGTTACTAGTTTTAGCACACCTGAAATTTCTTCTCCCTCTTTGCACCACTGCGTGTTTGTGTGTTAGTTGCTCAGTTGTGTCCGACTCTTTGTGACCCCATGGCTCCTCTGGCCATGGAATTCTCCAAGCAAGAATACTAGAGTGCATAGCGATTCCCTTCTCCTGGGGATCTTCCCAAACCAGGGATCAAACCCACGTCTCATACGTTGCCTGGTCTTGATTTCTGCTCAAATATATCAGCAACACAGAGAGGTTTTTCCCTCTGTCCAATGTTATTATTTTCAAAGCTCTCATCCCTATCCAGAAGTCATTTAAAAGTGTACCTTTTAGCTGTCTCTCCCCCACAGAATGTAAGCTCGATGAGAGCATGGTCTTGGCATACCTTGCCTCTCTGTATCCTTGGCACCAAGGAAAGCACCCGGCTGGGGTCAGGCTGCTCAATCAAGGGATATCAAGCTGAATTTATTTGCACTGAAGCTCTGACCCACAACAAGTGGTCAAATGCTACCAATGATTTGTTTCTAAGCAGCTGTAATTCAGCTACAGTAATTATTTCTGCCGATCTCTCAGAATGACTGTCCCTCTTCTCCCTCATCATCTGCCTCTTTCATCTCACCAGATACTACATTCGGGATGTCAGGGACATCTGTAAACTTCCCTTGGTTAAAGGGAACCTATGACTTTAAAAAGATGGTTCTCACTGAAGCTAGTATAAAGCGAGCAGTAAAAGGAAGAACTCCGGAGGAGATAAAGGGCATCCGTCAGGAGCAGGGCGGCTCCTTTTCATGAAGAGTTCCTAGGTGGTGCCTGGCCAGCGGCTCCACCCCAGGAAAATAGGCCAGCGGGGAAACCTGCCACAGCCTGGCTTAACCCTTCCGTGGCCCTCAGTTCACTAAGATGCTGGGGAAGATCAGAAGAATTCCAGCACTCCTCGCTGACTGGAAGAAAACAGCAAATGAAAAAAAAAAAAAAAAAGATTGCAGTGTGGCTCCCCCACCCCCAAGCTTTCTTCTCCCAAAGAGTCTTCTGTTCAGAGAAACTAAAGGACTCTGATAGCAGATCACAAATTCAGGACAGAAAAGCTCCACTATGTAGCCAGAGACTGTATTGTGGGTAACCAGACATCGGACACTTTTTTTCTTTTTTTTTGCTTATGAACTTTTGGAGACCATTCGCATAAAAGACTGCTTGTTCCTGGACAAACACTCACCAGCAAAGAAGCCTTTAAGAGGACGGGGGATTTTTGTTTTGCATTTTCCCTTTGTAAAAAGAGAAGAGAGAGACCAGAGAGACACTTGCTCTACTTACTTTTCAGATGAAAGAACCTAGAATTTGTTTACTATTGTTGGGGATTCATGTTTACAAGTTCCTATGCCTCTGCGGTTAAAAAGAAATGCTATTTTTAAAAAGCAAAAACCCACACAAGCCTCCATATGTAGGGCTTTTCTTCCTCTTCCTGTCTCCCCACCTTCATGTGACAGATGGCCACGAACCTTTAAGCCAAGTCAATGCTCACGAGGTGACTCTTTCTTTCCCTGCCTCCCTTTCCTTCAGAGACCATACCTGAGTTAGCACTCTCTCGTCAAAGCTCATTGCAATTCGACTTGTCCTAAAAGTCACACCCCAGAGCTTCTCCTTTTCAGAAAACCTAGCTCCTGGCCTATATGATCCTACAACCTGGATTTCAATTCCCTATCCCTTGCAGTCTTCATTCTTGTATCCATGAATCGTTTCTGCGTTCAGGGCAGCAAGATGTGGACGAATGTCCTTTTAAAAGAGGGTGTGCCGTAACTGGGTCACTGACTGTGTGACTAATCATGGTTGCCTAGAACCACAGGACTGTGGCCTCAACTTGCGTTGTCGGTTGTGAACCACGAAATGACCCAGCCACAGGCAGGCTCTGGAGCTCAAGGCTCTTCCCAGGCCCTAGGCTTAGGGGCCTCAGGGATTCAGCCTCCTCAGAGCCCCTCTCGGCCAGGTCTTTGCAGGCTCCAGTCTCAGAAAAAGCATTGGCAACAGGCCCTCTCTGGTCCCCTGTCCATTTAGCAACACTGAATTCAAATGAGAAAAAGAAGGGGCCTAGAAAGTTTCAAGATTTTTTTTTTTTAAAGGAAAGGGAACAAGAAAATGGACTTCCCCCAACTTACCGTGGGGTCCTCTGTTTATCATTTACTCACTTTTTGCACTAAGACGTGAGAAAATCCATAAATCTTTCCCCAATCAAGAGAGCAATTTAAGGCATTTTCAGAACAGAAGCATCCTTTGCCAAAGGGTCCCCTCAATGTATCCTGAGTTAGGAGCACCCGAGATTGCCTGGCTGCAATGCTGGGGTCGGTGCCAGGTCGGGGTGTAAGGGGAAACAATTAACCCCTTTCCTTCTTGCCTACCATCAACATTTTTGCGGGCTTGCAGTGCTAAAAAAAAAAAACCCCACTCAGGGCCCAGAGGTTTAGTTACAAATGAGGAAAAGGACTGGTATTAATAGTGAGAGCAGCGAAGGATCTGTTCTCACGCTTCTCAACAGGAACCTCCCACCCCAACTCTGGAAAGAGGGTTTTATCCTTCTTAGTTGGGGTGACGTAGGTGAAGGTCCGCAAGGGACCCCGCCAGCTCCTCCAGCCCCGCCCCCTTACCTGGTCTCCTCTGACCCCCCCACCCCCCACCCCAGCAACGCCTCAGGTGGAAACTCACTTTTTTCTTTCTTATCACAAGAATTCTACAAGGTAACTACTGTCTTGGGGAGGGGAAGCCGCATTGTCTCCGAAAGCACAGACGGAAGCAACAAATGGGAAAAAAAAACAGGCCAGGCTTGTGAAATCCCAAACCGGACTGGTAAGAACAACATCATAAATTATGGATCTCCCCAAGCCGCCTCCGGCCAGGCCCTATGCGGGGCGTCTCCAGGGACACGCAAGGCGCGAGTGTCCTCCGTGGTCCGGGCATGCGGTTGGCGGGGGCCACTGAGGCCCCCGCGGGGCGACGAGTCCGAGGCCCCCCGGGACCCAGGGGACGGCGGCCCCGAGCCGGCCGAGCCCCGATCGCCTTTGTTAGCGGGGATCCCCGAGCGTGGGCCGGGCCTGGGGACCGCAGGGGCGCGCGGGGCAGGCAGGTGCGGGGGCGGCGCGGGGGCCCCGAGCGGCCGGCGACAGCTGCGCGAGGGCGCGGGGGCGGAGGCGGGCGTCACGCGCGGGACGCCCATCTGGCCCGGGTCCCCTCCCGCGCCCGCGGCGGGAGGGACAAGTCAAGGTCGGCGGCGGCGGCGCGCTGTGGGCGCCCAGACCAGGGCCTCGGTTGCGCCCGCCCAGCGCCCCGCCGCCAGCCCGGGGCGCCCACCTTGCCCTTTGTCCTTCCTGCCGAGCAGCTGGGCCGTGACCCCCGGCAGCCTCCGAGCCGGCGGGATTAAAGGAGCCTCCGCCCTGCGGAGAAACTGCAACTCCGACGTTCCCCGCTCCCCCCGCCCCCCAGCCCTCAACCACCCCACCTATTGTTGTGTTTTTGTTTTGTTTTCTTGGCAGCATTTCAACCACTCCTCGTAAGGTGGGCAACCCCCACCCGGTCACATTTAAATGTGTTTGTGGGCCAGACCGGCCTGCTGTTACACCCTTTCAGTTCTGCAACCCGCCCCGCAGACACAATGAATTAGGAGATTAAAGTTACCGAAAAACCACTCATTTTGCAGCTCTACTGACCAACGTGTGGAGGGGCTGTGTGTGTGTGTGTGTACGACACGGAGACACACAAGCCTCACAGTTGTTCTTCTGTAATTTGTCTTCAAATATGCTTTTTTTTATGATGATGCTGATGAAAGGTCAATTGTGAGACTCAAAAATAAGACACCTTCTCTAGCAAGCCTCCACTCCCAGAGTTGGGGTTCTCCTGGGGCAGGGAAAAGGGAACCCCGGATCAAGCCGAGTCGGGTGTGAGTTAGGCCCTGGAGAAAATTGCGGGCAGAGGAAACGTGGGGGGCGGCTTCCTGGATTTCTGCTGCAGGAAGAAACCACCAGTGGGAGGGAGGGAGGGCAGCCGGGGAAGGGCTAGGGAGGGGCGGGGGAGGAGGGAGGGCTGGAAGGAGGCTCGGGGCTCCTCCAGGCCGCGGGGGGAAGGGCGGGGTGGACGGGGAGGCCGGGCTGTCTTTGTTTGGCTCTGGTGGGCAGGGGCTGGGCCCCGGGAACGGGAACGCGCCTGGGAGCGCCCGGGCGGTCAGCTGCCCGGCGAGGTACCAGCTGGCACCTGTGCCTGAGAAAATCGCGCTCGAGCAGCATCTTTGTTTAGCATCGGAGCACTGTGGAGGTAATTACTGCCGGTTAGAAAAACGAAGGAGCTGGGTAACTGAAACCCCTGGCCCCTCGGCTTACCAAACTCCCAGGTTACAAGTGCGATTTCCAGCCAGGTTTGGAGGCCGCCTCCCACAAAGCTTCGAGTCTGTGACTCTAGATTCGACAGCTTGGAACCAGTTCCCCGGAGGCTCCGTTCCAGGTCTCCTCTTAGCTCAGAGGTCAAATTAGGGTCAGAGATAAAATGTCATCACGAAAATTTTTCTAATCGCCAGAGCAGTGCTACTTTGAAAACTAGAACCATCCTTTTTATCTGGAATTAAACCGGTGGAATAACGGGAAGGGGACTTTGGTCTTCAAATAACAATAATTGCCTCCACGGTTAGTTGTTGAGCTCTTTTTATGTGTCAGACGCTATGGAAGCACTTTGATGAATTCTCTGTCTCAATCTTCACAGCCTTAAAAGGAGGACACTTTCCACACCGTTTGATAGATACAAGGCTGAGCCTTAGAGAGGGCTGCGAGGGTCCACAGTGTTACTCCAAGCTCACCAGTCCTGCCCATGCCTGGAAGGTGAGAAGATGGCCATCATTATTCACGCTCAGGTTTGTACCACTCTTTGGGACCCCCAAGGATTATAGCCCACCAGGCTCCTCTGTCCATGGGATTTCCAGGCAAGAGTACTGGAGTGGGTTGCCATTTCTTTGTCCAGGGAATCTTCCTGATCCAGGGATCAAACCCGCGTTTCCTCAGTTGGCAAGCAGATTCTTTACCAGTGAACCACCTGGGAAGCCCTAAGGAGAGGAGATGGCCACGGGCACTAGAAGCCCACCAGAGAGCAAGTTGAATGGAGAACACACATCCTGATTTTCTGCAGCCAGCACAGGCCCTTTCCTAAAGCTGGAGATGTAGCGCAGAGAGGCTGGTTCTCCAAACACACATTCTCCCCACTCATATCCTCCTTCAGGTCAGAAAGTGAAAGTGAAAGTCACTCAGTAGTGTCCGACTCTTTTCAATCCCATGAACTATACAGTCCATGGAATTCTCTAGGCCAGAATACTGGAGTGGGTAGCCTTTCCCTTCTCCAAGGGATCTTCCCAACCTAGGGATCGAACTGGGGTCTTATGCATTGCAGGCAGATTCTTTACCAGCTGAGCCACAAGGGAAGCCCTCAGGTCAGAAGCAGACCTCACAGGAGTTAGTTTGCACTTCTGAAAAATAAAGTGTTTTCAAGAAGTGGCTTCTTTTATAGGTTGGTATAGTAATTTAGTTAGTGAAAAATGTTTCACAAACTTTCTTCTTAAAAAGTTGACCTTCAACACTTGCAGCTAATTATATGGACAATCATAAACAGTTTAGGATTCAAAGTTGGCTTTGAGACTCAGACAAGTGGATAAACTCATGGCCCAGCTCCTGACTTAATTCTTTTTGCCATGGTAGTGACTAAAATCAGAGAGGACATTTAATTTCAGGTGTATATTTGAATGTATAGCATCAGACTATGATGTCAAACTGAAGCATTATTGATATTAACACTGGTAATAATTGCTAATAGCAGTCAGTCACAGTACCTGGACAGTTACTTTGTGTCAAGTATTGCACCAAATGCCAGACATTCATTATCTCGTTTAATGATTACAAAGGAAACTCTGGCTTCCACTCCTTGCCCAGTCTTCACTTCACACAGCAGTAGCCAGAGAGCTCCTTTTAAAATGTGCTCATGCATGCTCAGTCACTCAATTGTGTCTGACTCTTTGCAGTCCCTGCAAAGGATTGTAACCTGCCAGGCTCCTCTGTCCAAGGGATTTCCTAGGCAAGAATACTGGAGTGGGTTGCCATTTCCTCCTCCAGGGCTTTTTAAAATGTGAGTGAGGTCAAGTGTGGCTCTTGAGTAAAGTCCTCCAGGGGCCTCCCAGAGTGCTCCAGAACTGAGCTCTGAGTGCTTCCCATGGTCCCCAGCACTGTGTTCCAACCCAGAGGTCAGTGTTCGGTTTCTACAACCTTCAAAAGCATCTGTACCCCAGGGCCTTTGCACATGCTCCTCCCTCCACCTGGAATATCCAGCCTTTGCCTAGCTAATTTTTTTCACTCTTGAAATGTCCCCACCTCACAGAGACCTTTTTTCAAACAAATCACCCTGTTTTCCTTGACTCTTAACATCAGTTGCTTTTTTGTTTGTTTGTTTGCTTACTTTTTCATTGTTCTCCCTCAGCAACAAAACCCAGCAGGATGGATGGGACACATGTTCAATGTTGCTGTCAGACCCATTCTGACACTTCCGGGATGCGCAGTGTTATTCGTTAAATTAATCAGTAAAGACGCACCCTCACAGGAAGATACTATTATTACCCTCACTTTATAAACGAAGAGGTGCAGGGTGTGAATAACTTCCCAAAAGTCCTGTAGCTGAAATGGGGTGATGGCTGTTTCAGTTTACGAACTTCAATTGAAACTGAAAAACAAAATGACGAACACACTTGACCATGAAGAACTGTTAAGACCAAACTGGATTCTATAGAAGAGGGACTCGGAACTGTTTAAATTTACAGAAGGGCACTATCTCCAAATACATCAGAGATGAATCCATCATCTTGCACACTTACACCAGCCACACAGGTTAATATTAAAGTGTTCTGTGGCTTCTGATGCAGTGTTTCCTGCTATTCTAATTTGTTTTTAAGTTTTCAAATTATTTGAGGATTCAAACTATGTCTCTTCAAATCTCACGGGTTGACAGGCGTTCCATCCAGTCATTTCTGCTCTTACCTACGGAAACCAGCAGAATGTGGTTTTATCTCACGATAGTAGGAGACAAATAGAGCCACAAACCCAGTGACCTATTCTTCCAGTGCACGGATTCTGGGTCCTCAGATTTCACCAACCTCAAATCAAAAATATTCAGGGGAAAAAAGAATTCCACAAAGTTTCAAAAAGCAAAACTTTAATTTGTTCCATGTAAGCAGCTATTTACATGGTATTTACATTGTATTAGGTATTATAACTACTCTGCCATGCTTTTGTCGCTTAGTCGTGTCTGACTATTTGCAACCCCATGAACTAGATAGCCCACCAGTCTCCTCTGTCCATAGGGATTCTCCAGGCAACAATACTGAAGTGGATTGCCATGCCCTTCTCCAGGGAATCTGCCCAAGCTAGGGATTGAAGCCAGGTCTTTCACATTGCAGGCAGATGCTTTACCATCTGAACCATCAGGGAACCCCTATATAACTACTCTAGAGAAGTTTAAAGGAGGATGTGCATGTGTGTGTGTGTGCTGTTTTATATAAAGGACTTGAGCATCCTGAGACCAACCCCCTCAGATACCAAGGGACCTACCTGTACAGTAAGTCCCCTGCATATGAACTTTCAAAGATGTGAATGTTCCCCTCTATGCCAGCTGTTGTACTCTACTACTGTACTTTTCAAGGTACTGTACTGTAAAATGAAAAAATGTTTATTTTTTATGTATTATTTGTGTGGAAAATATTATAAACCTATTACAGTACAGTACTATATAGCTGATTGTGTTAATTGGGTATCTAGGCTAACTTTAACCCACTCCAGTGTTCTTGCATGGAGAATCCCAGGGACAGGGGAGCCTGCTAGGCTGCCATCTCTGGGGTCGCACAGAGTCGGACACAATTGAAGTGACTTAGCAGCAGCAGCAGCAGGCTGACTTTGTTGGACTTAAAAACAAACTGGACTTACAAACATGCTGTTGGAACGCAACTTGGTTGTATGTAAGGGACTTAGCGTACTTTTAAATTTTTGAAGAAATCATCAGAAGCCCTCACCCAAGAGAAAAGCGAAATTCAAAAAGAGGAGGGGCTGCTTCATTCTCAAATTGCTGGAGTCCCTTCAATATTAAGGAGTCACTGTTTCTGCAGACAGTAAGGAACCGGCTTTTTTGTAACAAGGAAGATGTCCTTGGTCTTTTTGTTGCTTTCACAGCTGAGAAAAATCTCTGGGTCCCCCTGAGGAAGTGCACCCAGGTTCCAGCCAAGCCCTGTACCCTGCACATGTGGTACTTCCCTTCAGAGAATTGAAGTTTTCTGTTTCCTTCCGGCGGGAACCATAGATGCTCCATAGGAAAATACAGGAATTCGATTCATATGGAGCAAAACACGACAAGTCCATGGGGAGGGGGAGATTTTCCTGCAATATATGAATTTCCCTGGTTTCACATGACACTGTGCATGGTTTATAATTCACGTACCACAGGGGGCTGAAAATTGTCATTTCCTGGACCCTCCAGTGGTGGTTTTCCAGTGGGGAGAGCGTTCTGACTAACCAATGCTATTTTTTTTTTTTCACTCTTGAGTCTGTGTTTGTGAAAGAAAGCCAACCTGTGCTTGCAATGGGAGGGGATGAGAAGGTGAGCTGCAGAGAAACAACCTAGAGTTGATCTTATTATCAGTCATCTCTGCCTGTTGTGAGAGTTTTAACAAGAAAAGTCTACCCACACATACTGGCATTGATATGCATGTTGCCATGTTACTTAGAGCCTAAAGTGAGACGTCATCTTTCTATCAGATGGATTTTTAATAGAAATATTCAGACTAAATTGAGATTTTTTTGGAGAACTTTGTCATCAAGAATCCAAACTTGACTGTGAAAACATAGGGAAGAGAGATTGTATGCACTGTCACTGTTTTTAAGTACACAATTCTGTTTTCACTGGTTCACTTAGTCTTCTATATGTTGAAGTGTGTGTGTGTGTGTGTGTGTGTGTGTGTGTGTGTGTGTGTGTGTGTTGAGGGTGGTGTTTGTGAATCTTGAGCTTCTGTGCAATGTGCATGTGCTCTTATACTTAAATGATTTTGAAATTCAGCAAAGATGGGCAAAGTGAACCTTCAGTTTGCTCTGGTTTCTTTTTTGTTAACTTTTTCTTTTGTATTGGAGTATATCCAATCAACAGTGTTATGATAGTTTCAGGTGGATGGTGAAGGGACTCAGCCATACATATACATGTGTGTATGATTTCTTCTCTTTTATGCGGCAGTTGTAAAAATTGCCTGTATGTGCAGGCAATATCGAGACCAGCTCAGTCCTTCAAGAAGGCCCCCTGTGACACAGGGAACCTCAGTTCTCAAGGTGCAATCAGCTGTCTGTAGAAATGACAGGTTCTCAGGGGTGGCCAGTGAACGTGTGACTTACAGAAAGTGGACAGGCCCAGTCCCTCGGAGTGACAAGCCCACTTCTCAGGAAGGTAACATCAAGTCACCAAAGAAGACCAGTCCCAAGGAAGTCTCTACCAAGTTGAAACAATCATCACAGGGACTTTTAGATCCAGAAATTGTCACTGTCTCCTTAGTATTGTTGGGAGAAAGTGGGAAGATGACTTGACCGATGAGTAATATGCACTCAGGGATCGATGCCCTACCACTGGGGATCAAAGCAGGAAGGACAGACGTTTGAGCCTCATGTTGTACATATTCTTGACCATATGATTGGCATGTTTTGCATTAAATATGAATTAGCCAATTCTGGGTCAGTTTCATGTGGGTTTTGGTTAAGCAAGAGCATTTAGTTCTGGGGCTTCCCATCTGCCTGCCAGTACAGGAAACACGGGTTCGATCCCTGATCCGGGAAGATTCCACATGACTTGGAGCAACTAAGCCCGTGGGCCCCAACTACTAAGCACATATGCTGCAACTACTGAAACCCGCACGCCCTAAAGCCTGTGCTCCACAACAAGAGAAGCCACTGCAATGAGAAGCCCGCACACCGTAACTAGAGAATGTCCATGCAGAGCAACAAAGACAGCACAGCCGAAAATAGAATAAATAATTTTTTTTAAAGGCAGTTCTAAGCCCACTATTCCAGGTGACCTAACTAATCATTTCTTGCCCTGAGAAGCTTGGGACCAGACTGGGGACTCATCAGGGTACTGCCCCTGGGAATCCAACCACCTAGACAACTGGCCCCCAGATGATTTGTCCAGCATCTCTCTAACTGAGGCAAAACCCCAGGGAGGGAAAGTACCTTTCTCTTCCCAACACCTCAGCCCACAGCTGCGACCCTGACATTTGATATTTTTCACATTGATTCATAACTGCTAATCAAAAAGCAGTTATTTTTCAATAATCTGGAAAATAGACACCCTAAAGCCAGAGTTCCTAGGGATTTTCCCTCCAAGAATAAAGGTATGAATAAAAATTTCCTGAATACAGGTAACTATTTCTATTGGGGCAAGAAGCCTGGAATATTTTCCTAAAAGATGAGAAGAAATTCCATGTTTAAAATTATGAGGTACACTGAACTCAGAAAAAGGTATCTTAGGAAGTAGAAAGGTAAATCAATGAATGAATATGGTACCACGCACACAACGAGAAAATGAGTGGTAATGTGATCTCATTGCTTTGCGGGGGAGACTCTGAGTTGTCCACAGGACTTTTTTTACAGCTGGGGGAAAGCCACACATGTTGCAGTTCTGCCAGGCAGCCTAGAGACAATGAAGTCAGGTGTCCAGAGAACACCCTGGCCCCACCTGTAGGTCCGTGGTGGTCTCCAAGCCTCCCTCATCAGCATCAAGTTACTCAGGTGATTCTTCAATTTACCTGAAGGCATTAGAGGACTCAGGTAAAAATCTAGATGAACTGAACTCATAAAGTGATAAGTGACACAACTCTGAGAGCCTATTAGAGGGGAAAATTGAAAAGGTTGAAACCAATTATTAACAAGACAGGTGAACATGAGATGTCTGGAGAAGGGCTTGGGCCACAGGAAACAGATTGCCGACATGAAAATGCTCGGAGCAGCCACCTGGCAGTCCTGGGGATGGATCTAGCCAGGACAGGAGGTGTTTTGATGGTCCACAGGGATTAAAAAATGTAAGACAACATAAAATCAAGATTTTCTTTCTACACGTAGAAAAATCTGCATTTTGATCCTCTCTATCTCACACACTTACAAACAAAACTGTTTAGTTCAAGTCCACTCACCTGCATCATAAAAAGCAGGATAAGTGATTGATCTCATCTGAATTACCAAAAATTTTTGCTTTTAGGAAAATGAAACCACCATTCTTCCATGAAGAGGGCCAGGATGCCCATAAGACAGGCAGGAGGAGCCCAGGACACAAAATTTAAGGAGGTGCTTTCTGTGAAGCAAGTGTAGGGCTGGCACTTGAGAGGGAGAAGGAGGGCTTCCTTAAATTCAGGGCTTGTGCCTCCCTCTGATTCTGGGCCACTAGCAGTCACTGTGGGGTGGGAGGAGTGGTATCAACAGATACCATGAAGTCTCTTCCATTCAAATAAAATCAGAGAAATATTGTTGCTGTTTAGTCGCTAAATCATGTCGGACTCTTTGCGACCCCAAGAACTGCAGCACGCCAGGCTTCCCTGTCCTTCACTATCACCAAGAGTTTGTTCAAATTCATGTCCATTGAGTCACAGATGCCATCCAACCATCTCATTCTCTTCTGGTCCCTGCTTCTTTTGCCTTCGATCTTTCCCAGCATCAGGGTCTTTTCTAATGAGTCAGCTCTTCGCATCAGGTGGCCAAAGTATTGGAGCTTCAGCTTCAGCATCAGTCCTTCCAGTAGAATATTCAGGGTTGATTTCCTTTAGATGCATTGGGCTTCCCACTTTTATTATATTTTAGAACTCAAACTATAAAACTCTAAATTTGAACCCCCTGACTCCACCCCCTCATCTAGGAACATGCTCTTAGAAGCTTTCAGAAGCTTATCCCCGGACTGCAATCTGTGGTTTGATAAGGTTGCTTCTTGCCACTGTGGAAACCCAACCGCCAAGCTCTGCACTCCCTGTACATGTGGAATAGCTGAGCAATGTCTTTTTTAACCTTCATTTTCCTAAAAGCATCATGTGGTCACCTTTCAGCCCCTCTCAGCCCCTTTCACCTTTTCTTATCAAACCCATTTTCCTTTTGTCATTGAGATGGTAGGTTTCTAGTTTCCATTTAGACACTTATACCCAACAGTGGTATCACCTAGAATATCAAGAAAAAAACCCCAAACCCACTCTTTACAGCCAATACTGTTTTAGGTTTATATAGTGTATACTAGAAACCATGGTAGGGGGAAATACTGAATGTAATCTTTAGCCACAAAGCTCTGATCGCTGTGCTGAGCAAAAAAGTCAAAGATTGTGCCTTCTACAGAGGCCCCTTGATCTGTAACACAGCACAGCTCTGTCATCTTGGCTGAAGATTCCAGGGAAAGGGCTCTGACCTGAAGGAAATGAGCTGTGGACTGTTTGGTGGCTATGGGGTGTCCTGATAGGACAACACTGCTTGTCCAGACCTGCTGGATGAGATGCTAAACAGGTAACTTTCAGGGAACTACAGTGTGAGCTGTTATTAAAAAAAAAAAAAAAGACATAACTACAGATCAAACCAGTCAATCCTAAAGGAAATCAACCTGAATATTCATTGGAAGGACTGATGCTGAAGCTAAAGCTCCAATACTTCGGCCACCTGATGCGAAGAGCTGACTCACTGGAAAAGACCCTGATGCTGGGAAAGATTGAAGGCAGGAGGAGAAGGGGACGACAGAATATGAGACGGCTGAATGATGTCACCTATTCAATGGACATGAGTTTGAGCAAGCTCCGGGAATTGGTGAAGGACAGAGAAGCCTGGCATTGCTGCAGTCCATGGGGTCACAAAGAGTCAGACGTGCCTGAGCACCTGAACAACAACAGACAGTGGAGTGAGAAGGGATGGACAGAAAGCCGGAGAAGGAAGTAAACAGAAGGCCTAAAGGTGTGGAAGTTTGTTGTTGTTCAGTCACTAAGTCATATCTGACTCTTTGTGACCCCATGGACTGCATCACGCCAGGCTCCTCTGTCCTCCACCATCTTCCAGAGTCTGCTCAAATTCATGCCCATTGAGCCAGTGTTGCTGTCTAACCACTTCATCCCCTGTGTGGAAGTTGGGAGGCAGCAAAGCCATGAGGTACTAGAATCTGGGAGGGTGCGGGGAGGAGGATGGGAGGGGGGACCAGATGGCAGTGACAGGAGAGGTGGAAGCGACTGGGGACGAGGAGAGGGGGACCGGGCTGTGTCTGCAGTGAGCATTCCCTGTCCTTTCTTCAGGTGTGATCACCCCTGGAGCACTTTCCTCAGCCCCATCCCGTGGCTTTGTTTTTAGAGAGTGGCCAGAGGGACCCCAGCTCTGCAGCTGCAGGACTGGCCAATCAGAGCGTCCCATTCTCCTCACTGCAGGGACTGGTGTGAGGATGGGCCTGTGACCCAAACCAGGTCAGTGAGGCCAATGGCACTGGCTCCCAGAAGCGATACTAGAACTGCAAAGAGTTCTCTTTGCCGCAGTTGTGAAGTCAACCTTGCCAGGAGCCGCCCTATGGAGAAAGTAGGTCCTGACGTGAAATAAGCCAAGGGGTCATTGGTAGGGAAGCCTGGGCCACGGAAGCGAGGCCCACCACTCTCTGCCACAGATGGGGCGTCCACAGGGTGCCAATGGCTTGGCATCTGCTTCCGGGGACAATGGCATAGCTGGGCTCAGCTTGGAAGGACCAGCCCGCATCCTGTCTACTGTGCACTGTATGAACCTGACACCATGCTTGCTGAAAGAAAGGAGCTGGGAATGCACTGGCTTCTTAGCAGGCGATAGTTTATTACCAGGATATGACACAGCCCTTATCACCCAGTGGAGTCCCCTCTCTAACTATCAGGGCAAAGTCACAGATTTTCAGAAGGACCCTTGAAAGCTGTTTAGGAAGATGCCACGCTGGAAGGTGTTTTTCCCAGGTCCAGTACGTCCAGATTCTCCTGGATTCTCTGTGCTTCCTCAGCGTTTATCTGTGAGCACTTGTGGGGAGCCCATCTGTTTAAATGCCAGAGTGACAGAGAGCAGATCACCAAGGTGTGTGGCAGCTGAGACCCCCGAGAGAAGGACAGACTTCTGCTGCCCGTCTCAGCCTCGCTGAGTGGACAGACAGACAACACTACTTGCAGTGTCATACTGCTGTTCTGCACTCCCCCACACCACCTTTTTTTTTTTCCTTTTTGACCTTTATTGTCAGATTCAGTAAGGTACATATACATGTGGCAATTACAGTACAATATTACAGTCTGTTCCCGGCTAAGTTATCACCATCAAATCACATACTACGTGGATCAGCACCCAAATGTGAACTGCCAGGTCCATCTATCTGGAAAATGCTTTGACATTTGGATTATCTTTTCCCCAGCACATGACTAAAGCTGAAGAGGACATATTTGGAAAGCAAATTTTGTGGTAATTCTAAGACAGCTCTTGAAAAACCATATGGGGATGCCTCAATCAATTAAAAACAGAACTATCATATGATCCAGTAATTCCACTCCTGGGTATTTATCCAAAGAAAAGGAAAGCACTTAACT